GTGAACATAGACAAGTTCAATGGGAAAAGTGTAATGTAAAGATGAGAACAGTCAAGAAATTTCTAAAACAAGTAAGTAAAGTAAGTAAAGAACGATGTCGAGCTATGGAGATACAACTGCTTCAAAGAGGAAGATGAGTATGTTGTACCCTGGATGCATTCATGGGTTTTTGATATGGAGACACCTAAGCATCCAATTTGCGGTGTGCATAGAAAAAAAAACATTGACTACTGCGGTTTTCTTGAACCCCACGAGGGCCGGGAGGTTAATGATTTTGGACAGAGTCGTGGTGTATAATAGGAGATAGGAGATGTGTAGAAAAACCTCTGTACAGCTGAGAGACATGTGAAGAGCAGATGAAGCTGAGGGGAGAGTAGAATTCAGAAAAGTAACAGTAAGAGATGGGTAGTCAGGGGGAGAAAGGGAAAGAGATCCTCAGTAGAAAGGGGGGGGGGGATAGGGTAGTCCCTGGGGTGGGCAAGGTCTGCTATCCAAACTGTGGGGGTTTGGATAACTAAGGGAGCAGTAGGGCATTGTCAAAGTTAGGGGGTAAGAAGTGGGTTACTCAGGGGCTCCATAGGACTTCAAATTTGGGTACTTTATCTTGTAGTGTGGCCTCAATTTTGTCGTTGATCATGGCTTGTGTGACCCGGTTACATGTAGCCAGTATGCTGAGGGCAGGAGTTTTCCATCCCCTTGCAACAGTCTGTTTGGGTGCTGTGGTTATTTGGAGAAATAATTTGAATTGCCGGTGGGTAATGTCCAGGGGTTTCATGTTCAGGAGTGCCACTGCAGGATCTGGTGGAATAGGAGTGTCAAACAGTTTGAAAAGGATCTGAAATATATCAGCCCCAAATACTCGTACCACTGGACAGTCCCACCAGATGTGCAGGTGGGTCCCCACAGAGTCACAGCCATGGCAGCAATGAGGTTGATAGTGAGGTAGAAATTTGGAGATCCTGGCGGGGACAAAGTACCATCTGGTAAGAACCTTGTAGTTGGACTCTAGGGCCACAACATTTTGAGAGGAAGACTTGGTGGCTTCCCAGATTTGAGACCAGTCTACTGGATCAAGAGTGAGGCCGAGTTTCCTTCTTCCATTTAGCAATGTACGGGGGGGGGTAGAGTTTACAGTTTCCAAGAGCTGTCTATAAGTCTGAGAGGAGACCTCTCCTATGGGAGTCTGATTTGCAGGTATGTTCAAAGTAAGAAAGGTGTGGGGTGAAGGGATCTGAGGGAAGTAGGGGGGAGAGAAAATGCTTTATTTGAGCACATGCATTGCCACATGCTCTCCCATACCCAAAAGTACTATGTATGTTTCTGCTCTCTTGACAGAGGCAGGGAAAAGAAGAAAACACGCACTTTGGGAGGGTAGAAGTTAAAGCTGAACTTTTAATATAACCTCTTTTGAGAGGTTACGGCACCATACACATTAAGTATGTGTAATGGTTTGTATCCCACTAACTGCCCGCTGATGCTTCTGCTAAAACACCTTCCCTGCTGAGCCTCTGTAGAGCCGTCAGATCCTGAGTGGCTGTAAAGGTTAATAGCCAATGCTGCTACTGAGAAAAGCTGCACCGCTGTCCCATCCCTTTCTGCTCTCTCCACCATTCACAGAATTCCTACTATTATTGTCCCACAATGCATCTCATTCTGTGTATAAGTGGTGGAGACCCTGTCGTTTAACTGCTCTGATTCCATTTATATTGTTCAAAAATATTAGCAAGTTCTATGAAAGCAGGATAGAACAGAAAGGATGAGTGATGTAATTTTTCTCAGTAGAAGAAGCTACAGTTAATTCTAAAAGAGTCGGAAGACAGCCATTCGGGACAGTATTCAATGGCTTTAACGAGGCACAGAATGGAGAATTTTCAACAGAAGCAGCTCCTGGTAGACAACAGGATACACACCATTAAACATAACGTAATGTATATGGTGCTGCATCCCCAATAAATAAATCTACTTAAGCTATAAATGAACCCTGCTGACGAATATGTTTAGATATAATTTAGAAAAATATGGTAATAAAAATGCTGAGTGTTGTCTGTAATATAGTACAGGTGTACCTCGGTTTACGAACACCTCGGTTAACGTAATTTTCGGTTTACGAATGAAAATCCATTGAAAATAATGCCTCGGTTTACGAATTTTTTTGGTAATTGTTTTTGCAATACGAGGTATATGTCGGTGCTGATTTTTAAATGCAATTGCCGGCTTTTTTTTTTCTTCACTATAGCTCACAGAATTAGCTGTCACTTTCCCCAGAGTTAAAGGAAACTTTGTTTCTTTTAAGAAACTAAAAGGAAACATTGTTTCTTTTAACTCCGGGAAATAAAGTAAAAGGAAACTTTCTTTCTTTTAGCTAGGGGGAAAGTGACAGCTGAATCTCTCAGTTACAGTGAAAGAAAAAAAAAAGTGGTAATTACATTTAAAAACCGGCACCATAATATATAAAACAACGTTGTGGGGTCCCCCCTCCATTCATACCAAGCCCATCGGGTCTGGTATGGGTTTTGAGGGGAACCCACCACGCAAAAATCAAAAGAAATGGCGTGGGGGTCCCCCCCAAGATCCATACCAGACTCTTATCTAAGCATGCAGCCTGGCATGTCAGGAAAGGGGGGGGGACGAGTGAGAGTGGGGGGGGTGCTTTGGGGTAGCTCAGTTGTGGGGGTCAGTTGGGGGGGTCTGCCCCAGGCAAGGGGATTATCGAAGTCTGGAAGCCCCCTTTAACAAGGGGGCCCCCCCATGTGAATGAGTATGGGGTACATGGTCCCTGCTACTCATTCACAAGAAACAAAAAAAAAACAAAAAGTGTATTGTGAAAAAAGACAGAAGTCTTTATTAAAAGAAAAAACTAAAAGAATGTCCCCCGCTGTAGATCCAACATCAATCAAGATGTCCGCTGCCACAGTCGACCCAAAAAAGAATTTAAAAAAAGGCTCCACTGCTGACGCTGGCTCCCGGCCATCTGCCTGCTCCGCTGGCTTGATAGTTCTTAAATATGTAAGGGGGGGGCCACCCAGTGACATCACGTGTGTTGCCCCACCTCCTTGTGGCATCATCAACCAGGGAATGCTGGGTCAATGATGTCACAAGGAGGTGGGGGGCACACGTGTGATGTCACTAGGTGGCCCCATCCTTTACATATTTAAGAACTGTCAAGCCAGTTCAGAGGCAGACGGCCGGGAGCCATCCTTGGTAGCGGAGCCTTTTTTTAAAATTCTTTCTTCGGGGCAGCTGCGGTGGCGGACATCGTGATTGAAGTTGGATCTACTGCGGGTGACATTCTTTTATTTTTTTCTTTTAATAAAGGACTTGTCAAAGACCGTGTTCTGTCTTTTTTCACACTACACTTTTTGTTTTCTGTGAATGAGTAGCGGGACCATGTACTCCATACTCATACCCCATACATTCACATAGGGGGGGGCATGATCTGGGGGACCCCCTTGTTAAAGGGGGCTACCTGATTTTGATAAGCCTCCTGCCCGCAGACCCCCACAACCACCGGCCAGGGTTGTGGGGAAGAGGCCCTTGAGGCCCCCCTGCCCCAAAGCACCCCCCCATGTTGAGGGCATGTAGCCTGGTATGGTTCGGGGGGGCCCCTTTCCTGACCTGCCAGGCTGCATGCTGAGATAAGGGTCTGGTATGAATTTTGGGGGGGACTCCACGCCATTTTTTTTTAAATTTTGGCGTGGGAGTCCCCCTAAAAATACATACCAGACCCGAAGGGCTTGGTATGGGTGGGAGGGGGGACCCCATGCCGTTTTTTAATTTTTTTTTTAATTGCTGGCAATTCTTTCTTTTTCGTTCAGCTGTCAGTGGGGTTTCCCACTGACAGCTGAAACATTAACACATGGTTGTCACTACTAAAATACCACGTGACTTGATAAAATAACTCCAGTATTTTAGTAGCGTTTACTTTTTTCTGACCTCTGGAATGGATTAATTGGTTTTCAATGCATTCCTATGGGAAACGGCATTTCGGTTTATGAATTTTTCGCTATACGAAAAGTCCCACATAATGAATTACATTCGTAAACCGAGGTATGCCTGTATTGTTATTATTATTCTATATTATTACCACCCAAATTAAGCCTACAGCACATTTTAGGATCAAATTCTATAGAAATTCCAGGAAACAAATGTTTCTCTTGCAAACTGTTTTTAAATTATAGCAGTAACATAAAAAACACAAATATTTCTTAACCAACATAGGCACTGGGATCATTTCATTGTGAAGATGCTTTTTTCATTAATTAACAGATGTATAAAATGCTCTACTATTCTCTTAAATCAGTAGAAAATGCTGCAGCAAAAAAAATAAATTCTCTTGCAAGTAAATGTCATAATGTGCTAGTATGCATAGCATACTAGCACATTATGAAAGACTTACCTAAAAACAAAGCCCTCCAGCAGCACGCTGTCACCGCTGACAAGGCTTTCATATTTATATGGTCTTCCTTCCAGGTTGGCAGGCTCCAGCCATTTGAATGGCCAAGCCACAATGATGTCACTCCCGCGCATGCGCACATGAGCCACAATCGTGGCACAGCACTCTGAAGGGATGAAATGCTCAGTATGCTGTCCATTGAGAGCGCAGTGCAGTGATGTCACTGGCTGCAGAACTAGTCAAGATCTCCTAAACGGTGCATGTCTAAGAGATATTCCTTGTACCTAACAGGTAAGCTTTATTATAGGCGTACCTGTAGGTAAAGTCACCAGACTTTACTGCCACTTTACTTGGATAATATATAAGTACACTAATCAGTTCCCACCATAATGAAGCGCTTGGGTCTAGTAGCCAACCGCAAAGCACAAACACTGTCATGTGTGCAGGAGGACAAGTCATTGAACTCCAACACCATCTAAAGCAGAGCTTACATAGGACTGCAGACATTGCTAGATGATGCTGTAAGAGACCACATCTGGATGGAAACACATTGCCTTTATTATGTTTAGCAAAGCTATGATATTGCTATTAAAGAGAAAAAACTTACTTTTCCTCGGCATTTGCTTTTGTTGATGATTTTCAGTGCATATTCTCTGCCAGTTGACCTAGTTTAAACAAATAAAATATAATTAAAAGTAAATATATCAATTTAAATAAAGGTAATTTACTTACTTTATTAGGTAAATCATTGTTAAACTCTAGAAATGTGTGTAAAAAAAGGAAACAAAATATTGTGCATGGATGTTCAAATTATAAATTGTATATATCATGATGTCTTAAATAAACGTGTTGGGGTTGATTTACTAGGAGAGAGCAAAAATCTGGTGCAGCTGTGCATGGTAGCCAATCAGTTTTATGTGCTTGCAATGGAAAAATAAATACATTTCAGCATGCTAAAAGTATGCCAACATCAGCCATATGAGTGCAAAATGTCTTCTTCTGTATGTCAAATTGTAGGGCAGTGTTAACATCAATGACCCTATACCCGGTCACCCTATCACCCTATCACCCTACACCCTAGAGGTGTGGTGGTTATGCCAGGACAGGAAGTAAGAAGCGGTCCATCAACTTTGGGCACTAGCATAAAACTGAGGACTCATGGAGAGGTGAAGTGTTATAGGGGGGATGCCCAGGGAAAGTGTCCTCATAAGTTGCCAGTGTCCAATCATCTGCGGGTACCTCCCTATAACTCAGAGTCTATGAATATTCAGCCTGTGTCTTGTATGATTAGTTTTGCGGAAATTGGGTCTAAAGTAATGCATCATTGTCATCACATAGGTTAAAGAAGTTTACAACTTTTCAATTACAGGACAATTCTTTCAAACTTTCTCAGCCATATCACTACCTACTAACTTTGCTATTCTGACACACTGTAATACATTTGGATCTGAAATGAAGGTTTACCAAGGTATGATTAGTTTGTACTTGGGCTTGGCTGGAAAAGACTTGGCTTAAATTTTAGCACTTTAGAGATATTAAATGGTGGAAGGTATGCACATTAACTCTCACTTTCTTTGCGCTGCTATCGGATTGGGGACAGTGGCAGGAAAACAGTGAGAACCTCTGACCAATATCTACACCAAGAGGTTGTCCTCTCCTCATTTCGGGACCCTATTAGGATTTAGATAAGCAGTACAAAGCATGTCATTGGTACACAAACATTGGTAGACACTGTTCATTTTGTTACAATAAACGACTACAAATGATTGAAAATGTTTGAACTCTTTAAGTATATGTTTGTATCATATTCTCAGACTCTTACAGATCTCTTCCAGCTGCACCCAGAATTGATGTACCTCGGATTCCAATCCATATTTTAGAGATGAGCTGTACCGCCCAGCTGCTGCTCATTGTTTTTTATTAATTGTCCTACAATACATCCCCCACAATAAAGGGATATGTTCGAGCTTGAACATCTATCAATCCTGTCTGCACATTATTATTGTTATGACTCATTAATGCACTACAGCCTAGGCACTATTAATTACTAACAAAAATTAAACTCAGTCTACCTCCAGAATGATCCAACAGTATAACAAAGCACACTGTATTCTTTTTTCTAATATATCAGTTATAACATTCTTGTATGTCCTGACTATTTATTATGGCCAGCTCTTTTCCACCTTTAATCATGAGTTTTCTAATATTTCAGATATAATAAAAATAATGATTATTATTCTGATTTGTACATGTAATTAATTTGATTATATGAAAATTTGAGTTCATTTTTTAAGCTCACAATGGAAAAAAAAAAACTGATGTATTACAGTACATGTGCTAATACATTCCATGTATATATACGTTTAATTTTCCACAATAATCCTTCCATATATTTAAATCGTATCATTTTAAAGAGTATGTAAACCCTCAGAACCTCTCTTATTTGCTCCCTTTGGTCCGTTAAATATACCATTGAAAACATGTTAAACTGTAACTAAAGGTATAACTTTTTTGATTAGTTTAGGAAAGTGGAGAAGGATGAGAAAACCTGTTTGGTCTTTATTACAGTCTATCTATTGTCCTGTTTACCATTATCACCATTATCAGTGAAAGTTAAACTCAAACATTTTGGTTTGTCACCAGAACAATAATAGTGTGGAAATCTTCCAATGCGTAAATTAGTTCTGTTGACCCTGCTGCCAACCAGGAATTCCCTCACGTTGGAGAGTTTTCCTCTCACTTTCTGTTATGGGGAGGGCAATCTCCCCAATGGGACACAGACGGCCAAAAACCCCAAAAACCTGACAGGGGTTATAAACCTCCCTTAGGCCCCTGACACACGGGTGTTCTTTTTTTTCATCAGTTCAGTCATGTTTTTTCCAAGAAAAAATGGATCAGTTTACATCTGTTTATTCATCAGTTTACATCCGTTTTTTATCAGTTTACATCCGCTTATTGATCTGTTTACATCCTTTTTTTCATCCATTTACAGCCGTTTTTCCTCCATTTACATCAGTTTTTTCATCCACTTTCCATCCGTTTACATTTTTTTTTACATCCACTTTTAATCTGTTTACATCCGTTTACGTCTGTTTACATCCATTCCATTTTTTTTTACGGAAGAAAAATAGGGTTTTCTTCCATTCAAAAAAACAGATGTTAACGGATACGGACATCAACGGATGTAAACGGATGATCATCCGGTTACATCTGCTAGTCCATAGAAATACATGGGTGCCAATTTTTCATCTGTAAATGATGACGGGACGGTACGCCCATGTGAAAGAGGCCATACTCTCTCCAAAATAAAAAAAAAAGTTTGCTTTGAGTTCTACTTTAAATATGTTCAACAAATGCATAACAATACTTGCCAGAAATCCAGTGTTATTATTTCTACCCAGGTTACCTCTGTGAACCACATGACACCTTCCCTATGTTATGGAGGGAAGGAGAGGGGGAGGTGTTCTGTAGTCATAGTACACTTCCAATACTATGTTGACACTGCCTCTCTACAGATGCAGAAAAATGAGTGAAAGATGTCACCCTAGGATAGGAAGTGTGTTACTGGCAAGATCACCAACTGAAAATAAAGTTAAAAACGCTGGGAAAAGAGACAGATGCAGCCAGTACACCTGAAGACTATTAAGTTGCAATATATTACAGTAAATTAATATTTTTGGGCTTAGATACATTTTAAGCATAACTGTTTTCATGGACTCAGTTACTGGATCGGTGAGCTTAAAGGCATACCTGACATTTGAAAAATTAGGTTTTCTTTACATTTGATGCACAGCAAACCTAGAATACCTATAACCTAAAATTGTGTTTTTCTACTTTCACCCTCTGCAGATTCCCATTCTATTATTATTATTATACAGTATTTATATAGTGCCAAAGGGTTTGCTCAGCGCTGTACAATAGCAAGGGGGACAGAACATGAGACAAGACAGTAACAATACAATACACGAGGGGTTCGAAGGCCCTGCTCTTTCGAGCTTACAATCTAGGTAACATTACACTACAGCAAGCATTTGATGGGAACATCTGATGTAAAGGGGCACTCTGATGGGGACATCTAATGTAAGGCTGCACTCTGATGGGGACACCTGATGTAAGGGGGCACTCTGATGGGGACACCTGATGTAAGGGGGCACTCTGATGGGGACACCTGATGTAAAGGGGCACTCTGGTGGGAACATTTGATGTAAGAGGAAACTCTGATGGGGACATCTGATGAAAAGGGGCACTCTGATGGGGACACCTGATGTAAATGGGCACTCTGGTGGGAACATCTGATGTAAGAGGACACTCTGATCGGAACATCTGATGTAAGGGGGCACTCTGATGGGGACATCTGATGTAAGGGGACACTCTGATGGGGACATCTGGTGTAAAGGGGCACTCTGATGGGAACATCTGATGTAAGGGGGCACTCTGGTGGGAACATCTGATGTAAGGGGACACTCTGATGGGGATGTCTGATGTAAAGGGGCACATCTGATGTAAGGGGACACTCTGAAGAGGACAGCTAATATAAGGGGGCACCGTTATGCACTGTCATGAAGTCTGCTGATGTAAGGGGGCGCACTCATAGAGACACCTGATGTAAGGGGGCACTCTGATGGGCACACTTGATGTAAGGGTACACTCTGACGCAGACATCTGATGTAAGGAGGCACCCTGATGTGCAGTGGTGTATTTACGTTTTGTGCTGGCCTAGGCAACACAAACACTGTGCGCCCCTCCCCCCTTCCCCAGTGAGAGAGAGGTTGCATGGTGACAGTAGTAACTAGGGTGTAAAGGGTGGTGACAACGAAGAATGGGTGTACACAGTGTATTATGGGGGGTGTGATGAGGGAGCCATAGCTGTACGAAGGGTGTGATAGGTGTAAGCAGGAATTGTGGAGTGTGATGGGTGGTGAGAGACTGCCCCCATAAACACTGATCCCCCCCCAACAGTCTGTCTCCATATACACTGATCCCCCCCCCCACAGACTGCCCCTATATACAGTGATCCCCCCCCAACAGACTGCCCCATATACACTGATGCCCCCACAGACTGCCCCATATACACTGATGCCCCCACAGACTGCCCCCATATACATTGACTGATCCCCCCACAGACTGACCCCTTATACACTGATTCCACCCTCCCCCTGACCCCATATACAATGATTTACACTCACACACACACTGATTCCCCAAGACTGATCATGATGGTTCCCGTATGACAGTGATCATCATAGGTTTCTGGCCTCGTCTCTTAGTTTAGCGTCTCCCCATCCTCACCTAACCTGCCGACCTCCCACTGCTCCAGCAGCCGTGCCATGTCAGCAGGACTGTACCCCAGATGTCCTTCTTCCTCCTCCTTCTCCTCGGTGGCGGTCGTACACTGGAAAGGCACACCTCACTGACACGCCAAGGCCAACATGTCCCCATCTTCACGTGTGTCCCTTCTTCCAGGGGGTGGTGCCGCCCCCTGAAAAATGCTGCCCTAGGCAAACGCCTTGTTTGCCTTGCAGTAAATACGTCCTTGCTCATGTGGGTAACTGATGTAAGGAGCACTCTGAAGGGTACACCCAATGTAAGGGGTACACTGAAAATTGACAATACATATTATTGGAATGTTATCGAATTTGTACACTGCTTATTTTTGATAGATGTAAAATGACTACCATATTTACTAGGCGCTGAGTCAAAGCACAAAGGTGAGATTTGGATCTCTGCTGGAAGAAAACTTTACTGATCAGACCTCCTTGAATTTTAATTCGATACCCCTGCTTCAGAGGGTAAACACCAGCCAGAGGTCTGCAAATATAGTCAAATCCAGGAATTTAAGTGCACAGAATTTAACTTCTTTCTTTTTAGAAATAGGTGCTTGTTGTACACCCCTCAACCCATGTAAAGCAACAGCCAGAGTAATAATGAAGCCACTTTTCCATCTGGCACTGTATTTATTTATGGCATGAAATATTGAGCCGTCGCATCCGCATTGTCTTCCCTCCTGTGTTATTTAGAGTTCATTTCAGTTCATATTTGTTACTCCTTTTCCTGGGGGAACAATGCTGCTCACTGTTCTGTTCCTGTGGCGCTCTCATAGCTGTGATAAAATTATGAATATTCCTTGAACATGTGATGAAACTATTAAAATCCATACAGCTCCTGGCACTGTTTTATTTAGATTTCTTAGCACCCACACAGTTTCCTACAGGGTTTTAAAAGTGGCCTCCAGGAATATCGGGCATTTTCCCACCTTGTTAACCGTGTATTTCAGTAATGATACAGCAGCAGACATCAGAAGCTCCCATAAACAAATTAATAGTATAGCTGGCATTTAGATAAAGTTATCCAAGTGACAGGAGAAACTAAAGCAGGCACCTAGAGGTAACATACAAAGATTATTTGATCTAAAGAGCATTCAGAGCACAGAGAGGAACTATGGGAGAAGGGGGAATATTAGGACAGATGTCTGCTGAGACATCAAGAAAGACTGGCCCATCCGCAATGACAGTCCAGCTCCCTCCAAATGACTGGGGTACTCAAGTAGGAGGAACAGTTCCTGTACTTGTACAGTCTTTAGAAGTAAGTGTGCCATTTATCTTTCCAAATTGTTCACATTGCACTTATAACGTACTTGCTGTTGAGACACTCAGACATTGAGGAAAAACATTCAAGAGGCCCTACAACTTCAATCTTCTGCTAAGTACACATAAGAATTTTTTTTTTTTCATTCAACCCAGCAAGCTGAATGAAAAAAAAAAGAGAGGTCTCTATAATTACAAAGCATGTTAGTGACAAATCTCCCCCACTATGCTATTGTGTTCTGACAGGGGGACTGTCCCCCCTGACTGGATACTGGTTTTTCAGCCTTCCCGTTGACAGAAGCTGGTCGTTAGAATGTCAGCCAGTTTGTGTTGAACTGGTCAATATTCAGCCTGTGTGTACCAGCCTTTAGTTCATATAGGGTAGTGAGAAGAAAAGAAAAAAAAACATTCAGAGGGCTCACTGGCTAGGTTGTTTGCAACAGACAGGGACTACCTTCCACTGGGTACCCAGCAGGTTACTGGGCATAAAAAAAAGTCTACCAATAGAAGAAGCGCCAGAATCAATTATAAAAGAGTCCAAATTGATTTATTGGTGTGCACTGAAAGACAGCCAACACATTTTAAGGCCATAAAACACTCCACCTTCATCAGGGCAATGCAATTTCTAAAATTGATTATTTTTTATGATTACGTGACCCATCTGCAATGGCGGTCCAGATCCCTCCAAATGATAGGGACACTCATGCAAGGAGGAGCATCCCCTGATGTGTAAATGTTTAGAAATAAGTGTGCCATTTATCTTTTCAAAGTGTTTACATTTCATTCATTGTACTTGAAGCTAAAACGTTTTTTCTTGAGCACAGAATGACTAGTACTCTTGACAGGTTGTAAATGCCGCTCACTGGAGAGATTTCCCTTCACGTCCTGTTACAGGATTATGTTGGTAGCGGCTCTGAGGAAGAGGCATCGCCTCGAAAATGCGTCAGATATTGGAGGTCTATAATCCCCATTCAGACACCTTCCAGGGAGATTGGCCCCTGCTGTTATCTTATAATGTGCCTTTGACTTTTATTCCTTTGTGATTATATCACTTTTTATACAATAAACCGATTTCTAAAGGTAATGCACTAGGCCTGTGTGCCCTCTTTTTGTCTTTTTGTATGCAGTTCATTTGGATTCTTCTGGTCCATTGAGGGCAGCAAGGCGTGCATTCCATATGCTATCTTTATATGGTTACAGTCACTGTGGAGTCCATTGTCTAGTGCAGAAGTACAAACATTTTTTGTTCAACAGAGACACAGCAGGGTTGAGAGAACATTTCCCCAAAGTGACGGGAAGGCCCATTTCAGGCAGTTTTCACCAGAACAGGTGTTGCAATTGGAAGATTTGTTCTCTTCTCTTGGTTCTCTAAGTCTGGCAACAACTGTAATATGTTGCATTTCCCATCATTTTCTGTTCCAGTGACAACAATAAAAATCTGACCTAGGTTATAATTATTCCATTTTCTATCCACTCTATTTTCTATCCCTTCTCCTTTCCAAAAAAATAATATGCCTAGAGATACTCTTTAAAGTGGTTGTAAAAGCTCAAGGTTTTTGCCTTCAGGCATTCAATGCATGAAGTTAAAAAGCTTTCTTTGTGCAGCAGCCCCCCCCCCCCCCCCAAATGCTCACATAAGCCTCTTCTTGATCCAGTGATGTGAATGGAGTGTCGGCTATTGACTGGGCACTGCTGCCTCCCGCTGCTGTTAATCACAGCCAGTGAGCCAATGAGAAAGAGGAGAGCATGGGGCGAGCTGGGGACCTGATAAGAGGAGGATCCGAGCTGCTCTCTGCAAAACCATTGCACACAGCAGGTAAGTATAGACATGTTTGTTATTTAAAAAAAAATAAAAGCCTTTACAATTACTTTAACTCTTTAACCACTTGGTAACCGTGCTATAGCCGAATGACGACTACAGCGCAGTTAACCAGTTCTGGGAGGGCGTCATAAGATGTCCTCCCAGAACACGCCCTCCTGTGAGCCCCCAGGGGTGTGCAGCTGGTGATCTCCATGATTGCTGTGTCCTACGTACACAGCTGATCAGGTGATGAGGTAAAAGGCCAATCACAGCGACCTTTTACCACGTGATCAGCTGTGTCCAATGACACAGCAGATCAAGGATTTAAAAAATTTGCCAGTTATTGGCAGCATTTTCCTCACACTGTCACAGTGCCCTGCAGCGCTGCCTATCAGGTCCACCCACCAGTGCCCAGCAGTGCTTCCCACCAGTGCACATCAGTGCCTCCCACCAGTGCCATCCATCAGTGCCCAGCAGTGCCACCCATCAGTGCCCCCTATTAGTGCCACCCATCAATGCTGCCCAGCAGTTGCGTCCATCACTGCCCAGAAGTGCTGCCCATCAGTGTCCATTAGTGTCGCCCATCAGTGCAGTGCCATCAGTTGCTGCTATCAGTGACTATCATTGCTGCATATCTGTTAGTACAGCCCATCATCATCATCAGTGCATCTGCCTCATAAATATCTCACCAGTGCCGCCTCATCAATGCCACCTCATCAGTGCAGCCTATCAGTGCCCATCAGTGCTGCCTATCCATGCCACTTCATCAGTGCCCATCAGTGCTGTCTATCAGTGCAGCCTCAACAACAAACATCAGTGAAAGAGAAAAAGTACCTGTTTGCTAAATTTTATATTAGAAACAAAGAAAAACTTTTTTTTTTTTTTAAACTTTTTGCTATGATTTTTTGGTTTATAGTGAAAAAAAAATAAAACACCCACCACCAAAAGAAAGCTCTATTTGTGTGAAAAAAATGATAAAAATGTCATATGGGTACAGTGTTGCATGACCGCGCAATTGTCATTCAAAGTGCAACAGTGCTGAAAGCTCAAAACTGGCATGTGCACGAAGGGGGTATAAGTGGCCTGTAGGCAAGTGGTTAAATGTAGGGTATTTTATTAAATGTTAAAAAAATAGGGTGTGTCTTCTACATTCAGCTCCTCTCCCCCTGTTAAGGCCCCCGATCCCCACCTCCGCAGTTGCAATTACCAGCTAATGACAGCCAGGAATTGATATGTATTACATCGTAGGAGCAGCTGTTAACAAACAGCCACTCCTGTGTAACATTACACTTGTAATAATACTGTGTTACCATGTATTGCCCTAAAATCCTACAGCAACTATCAATATTCCACAGGGCACCTAATTGGAGAAATAGCTTTAAGGGAAAAAAGGTTTAGTAATATTGGGTGAGGATTAACACCAAGCCTAGGGGAAGGGGGTGTCACAATTTCAGTGCAGCTTTAACAAGAGCATCCTGGACCCATCAGTAGCTGTATATCTTGTACTATCTAGTAGTTGATTAAACGGTCCATGGTTCTATTTCTAGGTAAAACTTGGATGAACAAAGCAGATACATCCACTTACCTTTCTACACATTCTTTAACAATGGCAAAGTTTCCATCTCCTATGGTCCTTCCGACTTTGTATCTTTCTGCTATAGACACTGGTACTTGGAACCCTTCATCCAAAAAGTCTGTAATACAAATGTGGAAGAGGTGTCTACTGCTTGTAAATCAATTTATTTCAGTAGCTTGGCTTATGTTAGCATTATTAATGACATAGCTGTAGATACCTGTTTGCATATACTCAATAGTACCTGAAGACTGGTTGGCCTTGTAAAGAACACGTTTAGTTACAACTATAATGATGTCATTTGCCGGTACACATTAAGGCTCCATGTACACTGCGGCTGATAAACACACGTTTAGGAGCTTTTCTGCATTTTTTTCAGCAGCCCCTGAACTCTCCCTAATGGCTTCCTGTGTCCATGTACACATCGTCGTTTACAATAGTTTACATAGTTAGTCCAGCTGAAAAAAAGACAAAAGTCCATCCAGTTCAACATAGAAAAAAAAAAAAAAGTTATAATCCTATACCCACAGTTGATCCAGAGGAAGGCAAAAAAAAACCCAGCAAAGCATGATCCAATTTGCTCCTGCTGGGAAAAAAAAATTCCTCCCTGATCCCCCGAGAGGCAATCGGATATTCCCTGGATAAATAAATGTACCTATAAATGTTAGTATCCAGTTATATTCTGTGTATCTAGGAAAGAATCCAGGACTTTTTTGAAGCAATCCACTGAGCTGGCCAGAACCAACTCTTGAGGGAGTCTATTCCACATTTTCACAGCTCTCACTGTGAAGAAACCTTTCTGTGTTTGGACATTACATTTCTTTTCCTTTACAGGCAGTTGAGTTTACATTCATTTTTTTGAACGCACCAAACTTGCTTTCAGGAGTAGATTTTATCAGCATTTCAAATGCCAAACGCATGTAAAGATGTGTAAACGCCGCTAACCGTGTTTAAAAGCGTTTGCAACATTTTTTTTAACTCTTCCATTTCAAGATGCTGCCCAGAGCTTTTTATTCATCATGAAAAATGCATGCAAAGCGGTGTTCCGCAACTCAAATGGACCTGGTACACCATACTTTGAGGTTTTGCGTGAAAGAAAAGATGTTAGGCACTGCTGCAATAATTTCTGCACAGAAATGAGCTGGAACACATCCAAACTCCACAAAAAAAAAGACAGCTAATCTCAACAAATACTGCTCTCTCTGCTTCTTCTCTCTCTATTTCTCTCAAAATGTCTGAAATAGTTGATTTTTTACTGTTTTTCAGTGCATTTGGGAAGGTCTCCTGAGGTTATCTTTAAAAAACCCTTCTAAACGCAAACGCTCATAAGCGCATATAAACACAGCTAAACAGAAGTTTTTTAACATACATTTTCCAGCAGTCAGTTTCCATCGTTCAGAAGTGTTCCATGTACATGGAGCCTAAAGCACCCCTATGAGAAATTATAGCAAACTCCTTGTTCTTATTTCATATGCCCATATTAAGATTTTCTCTACATTTAAATGATAATCAATTTTTCCAGCAAAAATGACAGTGACTGGGACAAACTATAATACTGCTAGGGCGTGAGCCATTGCAGAACCAGTTTTGTCTTAAATAGAGGATGTCTTAAGGTGATCTTTGTAGGAACCACTGGGGACATTAGAGAATGCCCCAGATCCTGTGTCTTTTGCCAAAAAGCCTGGTCTGCATTTAAATGTTACAAAAATGCTATTAAAAATATAAAAACATATTAAAACCACACATTTATCAGATTACAACAGTTGTGATATAATAGTCCTTTAAAACTCTGCTTTCACAAATTGACGTATATATCGAGAGGATGTCCAAGGAAATTTAATACAATTTGGGATGTATGGTTAGAATCCTCCTCAACAGAGGCAACTGATTTTGGGTAATTGAATTAACTGTGGTCAATATGTTTCCCATTTGCTCTTTTTCCCTTGTGGCCCTAGAGTAGCCGTGTGTGTCTATGGTCTGCTTCCCAGGGAGTTCAGCTGAGATTTTTAGGGTTCCTACTGCCTACTTTAAATGGTAAGGGAAATCCTCTTGCGCTTAATGGAGTATCCTATATGTACCAGCTGCCGGCACCCAATACTGAACCTTATACAGTAGTCAGAGAATATAAAATAAATATGGTGCAGTGTTATAAGCGTACCACAATGATGTATAAAAAGCACACATAAACTATATATCAGCAAATGTAATACGTGCTCATAATGGTAAACATGCACCAAAGTGGGTGATAAATCCTATAACAGCTAAATAAATGCGTGATGAATAATCAATAGTCCTAAAAGAATATATATGGCTTCATAGGTGGACCTTGCTGGTGAGCAAAAAAGTGAAGAATATCAATCCTCTCAGGATAGTTCATATGTGAACAATAGTGGTCAACTTAAATGGAAAAACATGCATGTGATAAAATGCATGATAAAAATGCATGAGCAATCCGGTGATCGTGTGCACACACGCCTCCTGTGGCTGAATTGCCCCCTCACCTTAGATCAGTGACCCAATGGGCCCTTATGCCTTTAAGACCACAATAGGATCTTTATCCAAGGATTGATGCCTCTGCCCCGTTCTTATGGACTCTTCAATGGACCCCTCACTGGTGGATAGGTATACAGGACCCTCTGAATACTGCTTGTCACTGGGGAGGTCACTCATCATAACCATGGTGAGTAAAAAGAAAAACTTCCATAGTGCAGTATTTCTGATACAACTCAATTTTAATGTAGATAAAAAATGTTCACTCACAAAAGTAGAAAATCCGCTTCACATAAACGCTCGCCACATGCCTGGATACACTGCATGGGTCCTGGCTTGTTCTGGGTGTATAAAGATGGCCGCCGCACCGGATGTGCATCACTGCAGGCCAAACCGGAAGCTGCGTCACAGCATATCTACGCGTTACGTCACTGTGTCTTGTGACTTCATCTGGATCCTGTCAGAGGCATCAATCCTTGGATAAAGATCCTATTGTGGTCTTAAAGGCATAAGGGCCCATTGGGTCACTGATCTAAGGTGATGGGGGGCAATTCAGCCACAGGAGGCGTGTGGACACGATCACCAGATTGCTCATGTGTTTTTATCACATGCGATTTTATCACATGCATGTTTTTTCCATTTAAGTTAAGCACTATTGTTCACATATGAACTATCCTGAGAGGATTGATATTCTTCACTTTTTTGATCACCAGCAAGGTCCACCTATCAAGCCATATATATTCTTTTAGGACTATTGATTATTCATCACGCATTTATTTAGCTGTTATAGGATTTATCACCCACTTGGTTGCATGTTTACCATTATGAGCACGTGTTACATTTGCTGATATATAGTTTATGTGTGCTTTTTATATATCATTGTGGTACTGCCTACTTTCCTTCTCACCTCCTGTGTATGCAGGAGACCAATAATTCCTTCTAAGTGATATAGATCTCATGTTATTAGCTAGGTGGTGAGAGTGAGCTATTGTTCTGTTGTATTTATTGTTTTCTAACCTGAGCTGGGGAATGCCTAGAGGCTCTGTTTTGTAATGTTTCTTTTTGCACAATATTTCAATAAAGAGAATTAAAAAAAAAAAAAAGCTCTGCTTTCAGATGGGAGTATCTGTACATTATAAAACATATACTTCCTCATATTTTCAATGTAACTTCCTTTAACAGACCAAGCTGTCCAGCAAAAGTGGCAGTTGAAGGGTTGAGGCAAACACTGAGAGGGGTCCTTACAATGGTCAGCTTATATTTATCCCAAACAGAGAAAAATACTATTTCTGTAATAAATTAAACGTAATAACTAGAGTTAGTCTAGAATATATCTACAGTATATAAACATACTAGTCTATCTGACATTATATACTAGTATATCTGCAGTATATAAACATACTAGTCTAGCTGACATTATATACTAGTATATCTGCAGTATATAAACATACTAGTCTAGCTGACATTATATACTAGTATATCTGCAGTATATAAACATACTAGTCTAGCTGACATTATATACTAGTATATCTGCAGTATATAAACATACTAGTCTATCTGACATTACCCTCTTCCAGCAGTGCTGTTGTCAAAGGGTGGACTCCTCCATCGATAAAGAAGCCACCCAAAGACAGGAAGTATGTTAATGGCTGGATCACATGGTAAAAGATAAGGAAAAACAGGATGAAAAAATAAACTAATGCAACCAACACACCTTAGGACTGGTAAGCTGTAGTATATCATACTTTTGATTTTGGATTTAGATATGCTTTAAAGAAAACAATATATATTTTATACCATCTTTACTATTAACATAACATCTAATATAGGGTGCATCTACTGTATAACACCGTTAATATTGAGCAATATTTTCAGATTTCCTAAAAAAAAATAAGGCAAACCAGGAGCTGTATGCTTTCAGACCGTGTCTCTTTAATTAATATCTGTACATAAAGTGGAGAGAGAAAAAGGAGTGGTGCAGGGCACTCCTTTGATTAAGCTGTGTGTATAATCAGTGCTTGAGCTATTCAGCTTTGTAGACAGGCTTTTTATTAGCAAAATGGTCAAGGCTAGCCTGGGATAATGAGTGTAGAGCTCCTGGAACTCTACCTGCTGGGTGAATATAGGTAAATATTAAATAATCATATATAATAATCATATACTATATTCCATGTTTACCTTACCAAAAGAAAACAAAAACTATTTTTAAACATTATTGACCAGAACATAACTATGGAAAAAACACTTCAAATTCCCATTTGATGGGAAGAATCTTCCCATCACCTACATTGTTACAGCCCTAGAGCTGACCGACATATAGTCTTTTTATTATTCTAGATACATAAATGCAATGTTGCCACATGTTCAATCTACATTGAAAACTCATAGGGAAGCCTATCCCGCTTCCACCTAACAACTGAACTTTTAATCCTTCCATCAGCTCACCCCTTCAAGCTAGGTTCAAACCTATGCAGGTTGCGTTAAGCCACTTCTGCATTGCATTTTGCGATGCGTTTTTGACAAGTTTTTGCTGCGTTTTGTGTTTTTTTTCTTCTTGTTGCTAGGCAGATTTAACAAAAGACATCAAAAACGTGGCAAAAACGCAATGCATGCTTTTCTGCAGCGTTTCCATTGAAGTCTATAGAACCAAAAATGCAACTTTTTGAATAAAAAAAAGTCCTGGACCCTTTCCAAAAACACACCAGGTGAAAACATGGAGTTGTGAACATGTCCCATAGGAAATCATGTTAAATGGACTGTACTGTATTTCTGCAAAATGCAAAACGTTGCAGAAAAGGCTTAGGTGTGAACCTAGAGTAACAGTTATTACCTTTTGTACGACCTGCCCCAGCCTATTACACTTTTATCCCTCTTGTATTGTATTATAACTTTATAATTGTAATATACAGTATTTGTTTTGAAGCACTACTCATAGTGCCTCTCCCATTTATTAAAGAAGAACAAGAGTGCAGTACAAACAGCTCTGGATTATCATACATTAGAGCTTTTCTTATACTCTACAGCAAAGACTGAGCCAGACATATATGCTATTTAGCCACTAGAGGGGGAAAAGCCTTTAGTTTTTGAAAAACGGTACAAGAGCATGTGATTACTGTACCCATTTGTAACAAGTGAAAGTGCTAAGCCCAGACAAAGGGATCATAGAACTATATTTAGCATATTTCCATAAAGACTGCAAGACTGCGTGCAACGCTGAAGTGAAACTGTGGCATAAAAATGTTATATTATTACATTTATTATGTTGTTGTTATTATTATACAGGATTTATATAGAGCCAACAGTTTGCGCAACACTTTACCATATAAAGGGAGACAATACAGCAACAATACAAATCAATACAAGATGGTTAGGAGGGCCCTGCTCTTGGGAGCTTACAATCTAATAAGGAGGGGTTGGTGGAAAAGGTAATAACTGTGGGGGATGAACTGATGGGAGAAATAAAAGATTCGGTTATTAGCTGAAGATAGGATAGGCTTCCCTAGAGAAGAGATGAGTTTTCATTATTATCATTATTAATATTTTATGTTATTATATTATATTAATTTTATTCATAACTTGCAATGTCTTTAGCCTTCTCTTTCATGTATATATATATATATATATATATATATATATATAGAGAGAGAGAGAGAGAGAGAGAGAGAGAGAGAGGGGGGGGAGAGAGAGAGAGAGAGAGAGAGAGAGAGAGAGAGAGAGAGAGAGAGAGAGAGAGAGCAAGTTAGTAACATGTCTGCTTCCCTTACTGACTCATCTGCCTAGCACAGAGAAGATTCCTTGATTGGTTTGTTAGTAACCGTCCCTACCCGCGCGTCCATTCGCAGCCTCGGTTGTCAATCACCGGGTCCCGGCCGGTGATTCCCAGCCGGCACCCGGCAATCGCCGAGCATTACCACTGGGGGAGAGACCTGTGTAGAAAATTAAAAAAGACACATAATAAATATAACATTGCGCATTTTACACATACCCTGCCCCTCACCGAGTCTTACGAAAGCAACGCCTTTGGGAATATTATATCACCTTTGAGCTCTTTTATTGTGGACTATTTAACCCATTTGTGAACACTGCCATCATACGTTTGTCCGGGTTACATTTAGCGCTGCAGTTATCCTATATATATATGTCTCTTGAAGGTTTTATGGTTTCCTTTACCGTGCACAGCTGCTTTTATGAATTTGTAGTTTGAGCGCTCGCTGAGTTCTTTTACCTTTTTATATCAATCTGTGTATCACAACATCAGTCCACTCTTATACACAACGGTATTTCACATGTTTACCTTCTGTTAAGATGTCACTTTCATCCATGGAACTGCACACTTTGGTGGATGCTAATGAGGTAGAGGAGCCACTGTGCTGGGAGCCCTGGAAATGATAAAAATATAAGTGTATTTATTATGAATCAGAGCTGTATGCGTAAAATGTGTTGGAGATTCTATCTGCTTGCAATACCCTGATTTGTATGGAATAAAAACATTTGTATTGAGAGCTTGGAATGCTGCCAACCTGACATTTGTTTGGTCCGTATTTATTATGAAGCTATCTACCCTTGATAATGTATTTTGTGCTGTTGAGTTTTGGCCCAAAAAAGGTAATTTCTTGCATGATGGGATTTTTTTCCTCCATAAACACTGTAATTACCGTTGAATGGATTTAATTACAGAGGATTCAAAGTGTACTCTCTGGTGGGGAATTTTACATACTGTAGGATTAGAGGAATGAGTTCACATTGGGCTTTTTCGTGATTTATGAAAAACAAAAATGGTGGAATAAATGAAAAGTTAAAGGATAAGTTCACCTTTGGGGACAAGGTTCCCGTTTTTAGGGTGGAAGATGTAACATGTTTACATAGCTTCAGCCGCCACCCACCACCCTCCTCCCTTTGACATATAATGCGGGGAGAAGTTTCCCTGTACTATCTGATATCAGATTTCAAAACAGCGTGGACGTGCGGACCTCTGCCCACACGGCCGCGTCACTCATTCACAGAGTTCTGTAAATGGGTGCCTACAAGTCCCGGCAGCCTTGGCAGCTGTCAGCTTGTAGTTTTTAACCAATTCAATACCATGCAATTTTACACCTTCCTGCCCAGGCCATTTTTCAGGTTTCAGCACTCTCACACTTTGAATGACAATTGCGCGGTCATACAACATTGTACCCAAACTAAAATGTTATCATTTTCTTCACACAACTAGAGCTTTCTTTTGGTGGTATTTAATCACCACCGGGGGTTTTTATTTTTTGCTAAATTAACAAAAAAGACCGAAAATTTTGAAAAAAAAAACACGTTTTGCTTTGTTTCTGTTATAAAAGTTTGCAAATAAATATTTGTTCTTCATAAATTTAGGCCGAGATGTATTCTACTACATGTCTTTGGTGAAAATAACCCAAATTAGGATTGTATTTTTTAGTTTGTAGGAAAGTTATAGATTTCACAAACTATGGGATATATCTGAATATTGATCAATCCTGAAGTACTGACAGCCAATCTAATTTCTTGACCTCCAAGAATGTCAGAACAGTACAGATATCCCCCAAATGACCCCTTTTTGCAAAGTAGACAGTCCGACGTACTTCATAAGAGGCATGGGGAGTTTTTTGAAGTTGTATTTTGTTGTCATAATTTTTCGGAAAATGAAAAAATAAAAAAAATGATTTTCACAATTTTTTTTTTACATACTGTCACCAGTGCAGTACAGCATCATCATATAACTGGCATGGCGGTGATCAGGGACACTGACTGGTGACAGTGTAAAAAAAAAACAAAAAAAAATTTTTTATTTTAAATTTTTTATTAAATTTTTTTTCTTTTTTTTAAGATTTTTTTTTCAGATTTCACTATGTCCAAAGTAGTACAATGTTACCATAGTAACATTGTACTACTTTGGGGAAGTGATCAGTATTTTTTTTTTTTTTTACACAATTTGCTTATAGCAAAGAATTACTTTGCTATAAGCAAGCATTTACCTGAATGACATTGATTCATTCAGGGTTTTTTTTTTTGTGCTTAGCTGTGATTTGGCCACAGCTAATCACATGATATGTGCAGGTGATTAGCTGTGACCATTCACAGCTAGACACTAGTATACAATGGATGGCATGAATGAAGCCATCCATTGTAGACAACTGTCATGTGACCTGCTGTGATTGGTCACAGCAGGTCACATGGTACCGGCAACGGGGGCCGGTACTCAGATCTGTCATCGGCCATGTCCGAGGTACACGGCCGGTGACAGATCGCGCCGCTGCGAACTGCACATGTGCGGGAGGACGCCATATTGCGGCCTCCCGGAAAGGTAATGCATTTTTGCGGATGCCATTTGGCCATAGGCCAGGCGTCAAATGGTTAATGAACTACCACTGTGCCGTGGAACGCCATGATAGTTCATTGAAGCTACATCCCGTACGGCAAGCAGATATTCTGACAGGTCTGCAGGAGACCTGCATGGCATCAGCGATCTACTGATTACTGGTGCAATGCTTTCCAGGCTCCTGCAGACAAAAATAATAAATGGACATTTTTTTTTACCTTCAAAAAAATATGCATTTAATATATTTGTCAAAAAGGTGAACTTATTCTTTAAGATGTTTCCCATTTCAACCAATCAGATGCCAGCTGTTATTTACTATTGTAGGGTAGTGGATGAATGTCAAATGATTACTTGTGAACATGTCTCTGTTTGTTAGCTCTGGTAATGCTTTCATCGCTAGAAGTACCAAGTACACTGTATACCTGCCTTGATCTACTTCTTTATATCATTATGTTTAATGCCAACTTTAAGTGAAACTATAAAAAGAAATATTTGATGACAAAAATAAAAAAACATACCCAGTTAAAGTAAGTAAATGACTATAATGATGTAGTGTTAAAGCTCCAGGGGGCTCATTAGCACCATTCCTTTTATCTTAGTTGTTATGTTAGCTGATTAATTTTCATTTTGGTGAGTAAGATGATGCAGCTCTGAACACCCAATAATATCTGTTACACTAAGATCAGGAATATGCAATATGCTTTATACAAATGTATCTTATGTAAGAACTGTCTAACAAATGACAGCTCAATGTGTGAACCTGTGAACCAGACCAGTGTCAATAGGGCAACACTGACAGTTCCATTATAAAAATCAAGAATATTATTTGATTGGTGTATTCTCAATTTACTTTGTATCCAAATATTTAAAGTGTTCCTAAAGAGAAAACAATTTTTTTTTAGTTTTGGACAGATTGGAGAAGGATTAGAGCACCTGTCAGTTTTTTGTGCTGTCTGTGTTCCACTAGGGAGATTTACTCTATTTGTCCTGGTCATCATTATCACGAAAGTGAAAGTAACAGAAAAACCCAAATTTTGGGTTAAAATTAGAATACCAATAGAGGGGAAATTTTCCAAGAGAGACACTAGTTCTGTTGCCCTGGTAACACACCGGGATTCCCTCACTTTTTGTTTTGACTATGGGACAGAAAGAAGGGAAGTTTCTACAACGGGACATAGATGGCAAAAAAAAAAAAAAAAGCCGATGGGGGTTATATTATAACCCTCCCTTACTCTATCCAAAATGAAAAAAAAAGTTTTGCCTTTAGTTACACTTTAATTTAAATACATTGATCCTACACATCCAGTTTTACATCAAACCTGAAATAAGACTTCTAGGGAATTAAGCAGAAAAACAGTGATCAAGGCAGCTTTTAATGTTTTGCTAAAGTTGCATTCTAATAAGCACACAGGAGGGCACAATTTACAGTTTGTTGTAAACTTCCTGATCTGAGGAGGGCTGTATCAGGTGAAGCATTATGGTGACACCATTGGACGTACCACTTTCTGAGCACTGGAGTGTTTGAATTTTCTGCAGAGAATTTGCACTCTGCAGGTGAATTCGCCCCAGAGCTTAGTGAATGAGGTGAACCTTGGCTGACTTCCATCCTCCAATCATGTGCAAGCAAAAATGTTTTTTATGTTCCTTGCAACTTTACTACATTCACTAAGGGACAAATAGCTATCTACAGTACAGCTTCCCTTCCATAGTGAACAGCCTATTTGCCTTTACTAAATCAACCCCTTTATCTGCATTGGAGAGAGATGAGGTACCAAAGATAGCAGTGCTGATTGACAGCGGGGCCTAAATAACAAGTCTGGAACTACAAATCTATAGCAGGCAAGGCAGTTCATATATAATTTAGTGATTATTATTCCTCATAGGATTTATAATAAACCACTTTCTTTGGCAGGTCTGCTCTAGTCAGCTGCTAATTTCTTTTCATATATATATATATATATATATATATATATATATATATATATATAAAAGATATTTTTACTTTTTTTTTCACAGCCACTAGCAGTGAATTGGTAAATCACGTAACTAGTTAATTTTGTACTTGAATAAGAAAAATAAAACCAATTTTCCCTAAATGACATTTAAAGAGCATTTGATTGTTAAAGTCATTGCATCCATGATGTGTAGGTCAAAGCAGCAAGTGCTGAAGAATGTCAACATAATTATTTTTGCATTAATACATTACCATTTTGCAGAAGAGATTGTGGTCTCTATAGGCGCATACATTGTGACGTCACTTCAAGTTTTATACACTTCACTGGCTTCTCCAATACATTCTCTCATTTGGTCACAGAGTGGTTGTTGTAAGGCTTTAATGTTAATAATTGGCTACACTGTCTATTAGCACAATACATTATGGGAAGTCCCACACTTTACACCTTCATACCTTTCATTGTTGAGTGACCAACTTAGGTGTTACTGCTCTCAGATCTAATAGAAATGTGGGATATGGTTATACAACTTTGACCCATTTTCCTTGCATTACAAGGGTGGTTAGTTTGCAGTCCAGCACCTGATACCCTAAAAAATGTTCTGCCCTCTCCCTTGACTACATCGCTCTGATAGACAGCACAGCACCAAGCAAAATAGTGGAACCTACTACTGCTTCACAAGGGCAGACCTGAGTATTGCAAAATCATTACCTGCAGAAACCATTAGGTCCTATTAGGTAATATTTTTTTAATTCTTCAACATGTGCATGACTTTGAAGATGTTCACTTACATACAAGTGTAGAGAACTCTCACTTTATATTTTCTTTGCTAGCAATCGGCACATGAGCTAATACATTCACTGTCTAATTATCTTTTAGATATCACACTGGCACGATGGGAATGTGAATGGTCATTACTTTTTACACCCACAAAATACGGGTGATTGGAACCCATATCTATGAGATTTGGCCACCATACCAGATATCCGAATTTCTTTACTGTCGAGACGTTCGCTGACAAAAGAAGATAGACATTTAGGTTTTTTAAACTGTCGTTTACTGTACGACTCAAAAAAAATTCATATTTGTTACACGTAATAGTG